GCTCAGAACGGACCTGTGACAGCTTTTTATAATGATGGAGATGTTACTGCACTCTGGTTCAGCTGCAGGTGACACGCAGACTTTTCAAAAAAAAAATTATTTATTTATTATTTGTGAAGCAGCTCAGGCTGTTTGTCCTCCTTTATTGAATAAGAAAATGGGAGGAAAAGTTCTGTGCTGCTGTCCCTCCCTGCACAAAAGAGCAGAAACCGCTGGATGAAAGTCAGCAGACATGCGCAGTCAGGTCAGTTTTCAACAATCAGAATAAGATGATCAGATTAAGTGTTTACATGCACGTCGTTCAGATTATCAATCGGCATAAACAACCTCTCTCATTCCGATTACAAATTCATTCGGATCAGAATAATCCAAATGGGATGTTTACATGATGTATTTTTATTCCAAATGGCCGTTTAATCTGATTACTTATGTCCATGTAAAYGTAGCTAGTGTTAGCAACACAAACCAGACTCCTGCATCATTTGTAAAGGATCAGAATGGCCCCTAACAAAAGACCCCTAGTCCAGTATTCTCAGAGCACCTCACACAGGTGCTGCAAGGSCTTTTTTTTCTTCAACTATCCCTGYAACCATATCTGGTTATGGACAGATCTGCCCTAAAGCTCCATGACAACTTCCTCTTTGAAAGACATGCTTGTGGAAATGAGAAAGACAACAAAATATTCATTCCATCACTTGACAACACCACTGTTTGAGATCAACAGAAGCCCACCTCCACCACACACAGTTTTTGTAAAGTGCCTGAACTTCTCAGAATCTTAGCTCTATTTGTGGATTTTGTGGTCCCGTTGGCRTCATCGTTGATCTCCAGCTCTGACTGGAATGGTTTGCAGCAACGTGTGAAGCGACTGGGATCAGCATCTCCAAATTTTAGGCCATGGTCCTCAGTTAGAAAAAAGATGAAAGGTTTAATGCGAAAGTAAAAAAGTAGAAAATGAATATATGTACCCGTAAAGATAGTAGAAAAATGACAAGAGGTAGAAAGCCAGTTTGCACCAGCCTTCTTTTTGACAGTAGGCTAAGATGTCTGCATTCATGATGGTTGTTGGGTCGTAGAGTCCAGGACAGCTCATCACAGGTCTGCTCATATACCTGGGAGTATAAAGAATCAACGTGTTTCAGCWGGATTATTTTAACGACACAAGGAGCACGTTCATTCAAAGAAAGGACTGTACAAACCTCCAGACATGATAAGCCAGCAGTGGTAAGTTCAGAAAGAGGGTGAGCCACTCGGCCGCACATAGGAACATCACGCAGAAGAAGAAATGGATGAGATACTCTGGCAGCACAAGCTGAATGAAAACAAAGGCAAMAAACCAGTTTAAATCTTTGTAATGTCTGTTGGTTCCAGTTCTATGCTGGTGTGGATTCTCAGCCACCATGGTAAATACAAACCAAAAAAAAGTTAAAACTGGACTTCTATTCTGTAGCTGAAAATGTTTCAGTTCACATACAAGAAGGTTTCTCAGTTCAGTCATAGGGGTGGGAATCTTACTGTCTCACGATTAGGGCTGCCACCATTAGTTGATTAATCAACGACTAATCGATTATTTAAATAATCGATGATTAATTTAATAATCTAAAGAAATTTATAGTTATTAGAGTTTAGTACTGATGTTAAAAGCACAACACTATATTTTTAGGTTTTCTTTTTATAATGTTTAATTTATTATGTGTTGATTGATATAGATTAGTTACATGTCCAAAATATCTATAACACATATTTATCCGTTATGAGAACAGTAGGTGAGAATTTTGTATGAATGCCTGTGATTCAGCCGTAGGTCAGTAGGGGGCGAACGCGGGCATTGAAGACTCTATAAATGGATCAACTTCCTGGTTTGCCGGCAGTGTGTGGTTTCCTGTCAGCTCCAAATGGCAATAAATCCAACTCCAGAATTCTGGTTTTGTATGGTTTTATTTCRTCTAACAGTCATATTATTTAACATTGGTGGTTTTCTATTGACTTCAGTCTTTGAACACGAATATTTCTTACAAATCGATTAATCGTTTTCTTTCTTTTTTTTTGTTCTTTACTTTGTTTTTCTCTCCAAACTGCTTTGACACCTTCCACT